GAAAGAAAGGGATCTTGGTGTAATAGTTGACCAGTCTCTAAAGCCATCCAAGCACTGTGCTGTTGCTAGTGGTGTGGCAAGTAGGATTTTAGGTTGTATTTACAGAAATATTGAATATAAGCCTAAATAGGTTATAATTTTATTGTAAGGTTACTGGTCAGGCCACATTTGGGATATTGTGTTCAGTTTTGGTCTCCTTACCTTAGGAAAGACGTTGAATTGCTGGAAAGGGTTCAGAGAAGGATTACTAGAATGGTGCCTGGGATGGAGCTGTTGTCATATGAGGAGAGGCTGAAATCTCTGAAATTATTTTTCTCTTGAAAAAAGAAGAGTTAGGGGGGATCTGACTGAGGTGTCTAAGATACTAAAGGGAATTAATAGTGTTGATGCATCATCTTTTTTCATATTTAACAGCGAGAATAGTAGGACTAGGGGACACAAATATAAATTTCGGCAGTGTAGGAGCCATTTCCAGCTTAAACAGTTTTATTTTTTTGACCAGGTGGTTGGGATAGGAGTAATCTTCAGCTACGACAGTTATATTTTTCAAACAGGGTGGTTGGCCTTTGGAATTGTTGCCTTCAGATGTTGTATAGGCAGTAGAGTTAAGTGAGTTTAAGAAAAAGCTTGATAAGTATATGAATGATAAGGGCTGGCTTTAAGAATTTTTTTAAAATTTAGTTTAAAGTATGGAACAACCGAGGTGGACCAGTAGGTTCCATGTTGTCCTAAAAATGTTATGTTACGTTGATTTAGCCAATTTCCCCTCTCTCCCCCCTCGAAGAAAAGGGAAAAAAAATCTTACATTAATTGAGGTCATTACTACATTAGAAAAAAAACAACTCAAATTGAATCTTTAGTTTTGCTACCCATTTGTTTGTGGAAGGCTGCATGTAACTTTATTTGCTTACATTTAATTAATAGCTACAAAAATAAAAACCTTATGTTAAGAATTTGCAGTGAGTTTTAAATATAAGTCTTAATATGTTTTAATTTTTAGCATTTAAACTTCTGTAATCTAATGTACAACAACACATTATTTAGCTTCTAGAATACACATTGTTTCTCAGTGTTATATGACAACTAATATTTGCATACTTTCACAAGAATGTCTAACATGTTCAAACTTTTGAAGTTGGTTGTATTTGTCACAGAGTTAAGAAAGTGGATATGTCTTAATATGTAAAGCAAGAAAAATCATTTAAGGTAGTTTGCTATTTACCCACTGTTTTTATTCTCTTTCAGCTTTATAGGTACAGCATGGGCTTTAGAAGTTAACCAATGTTTTTAAAATGTGGATAATGTCTAAATCAGCTTACCTCAGCTTTGTGTGAATATTATCTGAATTGAAAACTATCTATAGACAAATTTTAATAAATATTGTTTAATACTAAAATACGTCTTTCAGAAGTATACATATGCAGTGAACTCGTATTTCAAATTTTCAGTCTCCTTGACCCCGTTTTCTTTTAATTTCTAAAATTTATATAATCCACATTATATTTTATATTAAAAAAACAATAATGAATTAAGAGCAATATCATTAAGTATCCTGAAAGAAAAAAATGAAAAATGTGCATACACTAAGTGTGTTAGAACCTGCTTGATACGTACCATGTAAAATAAGAAAATTAATGCATGTGGCCTATTAAAACCATTTACATTTCATGGACTTTCTGTTAAAGTATTTGCCAGATTACCATTACAGTCTCATACTGTTTTAATTTGTTTAAATATCATATTAATTTCATGTGTGTGTAATATAATGCTTATAATTAAAGACTGAAAACTGACCTACCTTGTTCTACTGGTGCTAATAAATTTCACCTGATTTCAAGGTACCTTTTTGCATAGCTATGTTACTGATAACTGAATTTAATAATTTTTGTAATCCTTTGCAAAAACAATTAACAGATTAACATTATTACTAATTTACATTAATTATCAACCATCCATCTGTATGTTTGTTATAGCTTCATAGTAGGTTAGGCTGTTCCTGGTAAGTATGAATTTCAACTATCCACCTACTGAATATATATTTGATAGACAAGTCTTTGTTACAGCCTTGCTAAAATGGCATCTTTAAAGCAATCAAAGATTTCTCGATCTGATAAGAAACCAAGCTCTTCCCTTCTATCATATAATTTTTGTATGTGATCATCTGAAGATATGAAACAGATCAGAAAGATATAAAGAGTGAGCCACAATATACTCTCTGATAAAGGAAACTACACATAATAGGGTAAATATTTAGACCAGCATAAAGCATTACGTACCATGACAAGTCTTTCCTCATGATTAGACTAATTGTGTTATTGCTAAATCACTCTTGACATTACGTGTGTTGAATGACCACAAAACTATTCCAACATTAAAAACCAAGGCTCGTTTCTTTCTGAATATCCTCTTTATTTCTAAACAATGCAGATTCAAAACGTAAATGAATTTACATTTCATCATTGGAATAGCTGTTATTCTGTTCAATAAATCAGTGGAAAATGCACTGAGATGATCATAATATACGTTTTTAATCATTGAAGAACTATTATTACATATGAAATAGTAACTCTCCCTACAGAATGATATATCTTATGTACATCTTTTTTTATTTCTACAAAACTGTAACCACGCTGTACTCCTTTTCAAGTAATGGTTCAAATTAATAAAAACATAACTGCCAAAACAAAAATCAGCATTTTAAAATCTTAAGAGTAATCAAGAGGTACCTTTTCTCCAAGTTTACGACATATTCTTACCTATACAGAGATGAACAAAGGATTGTTTGGAAAAAAAATAAGTATTTTAGTTTCCAAAAACGATTCAATCCTTTTGCATAAATATACACAACCCACTATCCATGAAAAGAATAAAATAATTTTTCTGTAATCATTTCTAAATAATAAAAATTACATATCCATATAATCGATGCACCTTTTTTTCTTTACAACTTGCAATATTCATGCAACACCATTAAAATTTTAAAAGAAATATTCTTCCATTATACCACTGAACATAAAAGCATGTGCAAGCTTGACTAGAGTTCAAAATAATATAAAGAAAATTTTTGACACACACACACACAAAAAACCCTTAAAAAACAGCTTTGACATAATAGAAGTTGAAAAGAATTGTATCTAATCCTCACAATAACATTTTATACAAAACCAGTTTCTTAGTTTTCACTACTCTTCAGCTCTTCCATATTTCAATGTATAAATTTATATGTAACTTTCAATAACTATTTAATTTTTTAAAGTATGTGAAGATCCACAATGCGTTAATAGCTTTACAAATACACAAAACAAATTACTGCGTATCATGCCATTTAGAAATTTTGTCTCACAGTCGGTAATAATGGTATTTATATTTGTCCAAAGCTTTCAAAGCCAAATTACATAGGAATTTGTAAAAAATAAAACTTGTATTTCAGCACAGCTAAAGAAAAAGATTAAAACCACAATCTATTTAATAATGATAACTTCTGATCAGTGTAAGCTATGTACTTAGAGCAAAATGTAGCTAATTAAATGTACATTTCTTACATATCTACTTATAAAGATAAGAATGCATTGTTTTATCAATTCGGTGCCCTCATTGTTAACAATATTTTCAGCTGTAAGCCTAGTACTATGTCAACAAGCTCAGCCAGCTTAGAAGGTTTAGGTTAATTCTAAATACAGATTCTAAGCTAACAATACAAATCACTCTTGATAATTAACAACAAATTGAAATAAAATAAATGTAATTATGTTCAATAAAATAAGTAGTGTACCAATATTATTAATGAAAGGAACAATAAATAAACAATGGCATACCTTAATTAGGGAACCTATAAACACAAAACTTATTATAAACCTTAGTTTGTTTTATAAAATATGCCAGTTTTTGTTTTTGACAGAAAATGAGCTGCATCAGTTTCCACATCATTAACTTATGTTTTCCCATGATCATTGTGAGGATCACATGTTATGAATATATCTCTGATAGAATCAACTTCATGACTGCTCTAAATACTTGCTAAAAATAAACCATATGTGAAATAGAAATGAAAGGCCACTTCTGAAGCAAAATTGATAGGATCATTATCATAGATATATATGCCACTGAGTAAAACTGTCTTACAGTGTGTAAACATTATTAAAGTATAGGAATACTCAAGCAATACATACTGTAAATCATACGTCACATTTTTGACTAATTCCTACCTCTTGAAAAATTTAGCAAAAACAAAAAACAGTTTCTATGCCCTTTCCAACAAAAGTCAGTGCACTAATGTGAGAACCATGTCAGCACATTAATGTTAAAGTCTAATTAAATTCTTAATTTACAAAAAATTAAAAGACATTACAGATAGTTTAATATCATTAACCCAGCTTTGGTGTGTTTTAACTTTGAATACAGTCAAATTGAAATGTGTATAAATATGGTTAACATGTTGTGAGAAATAAGCCATTCTGGAAGTTACTTACTTCATGTTTTTCTGATAAATAATTACAAACAAAAATTGTATTAAACATATTCTGACTGCACAAAAAAAAACTGTATAAATTACAGGAAGTAACATACTAAATTTAGTTCAACCTTGTTTACTATTTTGGAAAGATGTCAGAAGTGCAGCCACTCAAACTGCCAGAGATAACACAAGATCAGCTGATTTTGGTACACTAAAGTTAGTACTAAGCTAAATTTAGACTAAAACCTTTCTTCTACTTTTTTGTCAACAGTTAATAGCATTTTAAAGGTGTCTCATTAGTTTTCATAATTGTACTTTTGTGCTGGCTTTCAAGGTGTGCTATTTCGACTTTGAACAGTTAATACTAAAATGTGTATTATTAAAAGTTGAAGAAAAAATTAATCTATACAAATGATAAAAAAGACAAACAACTACTTAAAGTATTCAGTTTTTTTGTTTGTTCGCTTTTGGTTATGAGGTTATTCTACAGCAGTTAGAATCAAACTTCAATACAGCATACAACACACAAAACAATTACTTGTTTATAAAAGTGATAATCGTACCTATATATCACTACTTATAAAGTGATACTCATACTGAAACTGTTGCTGTCTCTAATTTTGAATTGCTGACCACTGGAAAGACAACCCGTCAACACCACTCACTGCTAGTTCTTGAGCTACTCTTCAATAAAATAAACAGTGTTTCACAACACATTATAACACCCCCATAGCTGAAAGGCTGAGTACATTCAGAGGAGAGTCTCGATCCTGTGACTCATGTATTGTAGCTTTTGTATTATAATCTTGCACTGAAAAAAAACAACTCATAACACTTGTGCAGCCCAAAATCCAATCTACTGCAGGCAGGCATACTAAACAGATAATTCATCTGTGATAATGATCTAAGCATAATTTACTGAAGTTGGGACATATCCTTTCATTTTGTCTTTAATGGGAAATTTTCCACACTCACATGTCAACAACAGAAGTATATTTTTTATTGCATAATAAATTAGTACTCTCATTATGATCTTGTGGAAATACTTAGACCAAATATACATTTAAACAAGTCACAGGGTGTGTTCTTACAAAAAATGCAAAAATCAAACCTTCCATTCCCTCTTCTTTTGAAACCAGTTATGCCCTTGTTGACACTGAAAGAAACAAACTCATTCAAACTGAATATTTGACATGCCATATTCTTGTTAACACAAAGCTGTCATCCCACAACTGAAAAACTATAAAATACCATTTAAATTTTGTCCTATTGAAACATTCAATTAAAAGAAATTAAATGTTTATCAAAATAACAGTCGGACAAACCCAAAAACACATTATTTATAAACATTCAAAATGACGGTGAAAGAAAACATTCAGTGATATTCTACAAAATATCTAAACACTGTTAACCTTTGACACTGAACAATGAAAGAAAAACTATTTTTACATTGGGCTCATGTGACATACTACAATTTTTATAAAATCACACACACATATATATATAAACTTGAAATTTACTATTTATCTTACATATCATTACACACTTAGAAGTATGTATCACAAACATTGTCTAGTGTGACCTTGTTTTCAATTATTTTTATATAAAAATATAACTCCTGGGTGAGACATACTGTACTTAATTTCTGGGTAATCACTAAAATTCAGCAAGTGATATATTACACTTAAATTTGCTATTACACAGAGATTTATTAATACAATTCAGAAAAATACCACAGACAGGAAGTCAACAAAAAAGGCACAATCTATAAACAACTGAGGTTGACCAACCACTTAGAACCAACATAGTTATTATCACCAGTAGATATAGGATTTCCACTGTTTACAACCTCATCTGGTGAAAAAAAAACATCTATTGGTACTACAAAACAACTGTTTCTTCTTGTTAAAATTAATATATTAATATTTTCCAGTACTAGTTTAAAAATAAATCACAGTAAAATATCAAATGTAATTAAAACTGTTCCTGAAATATTTTTTTCTACTTTTCTTTTTACTGGACTAAAGGCATTGTGTCAGAAGAATCACAGTCATTGACTGTTGAGGTCAGACTTTCACATGAGTGATGAACAGAAAGTCTCCCAAGATCAATTTGAATACACTCGTCACCACTTGCTTGGGACTTGTTTTTGCTGCTGCTGTTTCCTTCTGTTTGAGTTACCCCAGGAGAATCCACCCCAGCACCCTGCGTGATCTTTATCAAATCTGGAGATGGTAAAAGTACAGTTTGCTGAGATGAGGAAGACATTTTGTGGACGTTATCTTTTGGTTCATTTTCAGACATACAAGCATGTTCTCCTTCGCAGTCAGAATTCTGAACAAATGTACTAGTTGTTGCTATACTTACATCACTTTCACTTGCATTTTCTGGTGTTTGTGAATGGTAACTAGATCTTGAATGTATACTGCCAGAAGGACTTAAGGAAGGGGATGATAAAATAGGCCTTTGTAAAGATGGTGAAGAAGATTCAGCAAGAGTTGTGTTATCCATCACGTTGCGTGGAGCTTGTCTACGAGTGCGAGCTAATCTTCTAATTCTTCGAATGCGTTGCGACTGTAAACCACGTAAGTTCAAATTTGATAATTCAGGTCTATCCTGACCAACAGCAACAGCATAGGATGGGGGTGGTTCTCGATACATGATCTCCTGTTCCAACCTGGAGAGTGGAGTTTGTCTTGAATAGTCTGGATGATGTTCCATGTACCGCAGGGCAAACAACTTACATGTACAACTAACAGCAACAACTAGTAACAGTCCACAAATCAACGAACCCATTATTGCTGCTGTGATTACACTATTCTTGATACCTAAAAAATAAAGAAACATTGGTGCTCAACATGTGCAAAATATTCAATGCCTCCAGTGACTCAAATATAATTAAAACTGTTCCTGAAATATTTGTCATACTTTTCTTTTTATTGGACTAAGTCAGAAAAGTCAAAGTTACTGACTGTTGAAGTCAGAACTTATAATGCTAAAATCTGGGGATAAATCCCCACAGTGAGTACAACATAGATAGCTCATTATGCAGCTCTGCACTTAACAAGAAAGAAACAAAACTGGGATGTTAAGAAAGATACAAACATATTTATTTTTGTAGTCATAAGTAATCTATTTCACATTCATCATAAATTTAGTAACTTAAGATTTCTACTTCACAGAAACTAAAAAACATTAACTTTGGAAAAACAAAAGTGATGTAAGAATATTTATATTAAAATAAATTGTTAAATTAAATGCAACTTTTCTTAAAACTAACTAAGCTAAATATTTTTATCAAACACAGAAACTTAACTTACACCACTGTAGTATCAGATTTCACCTAAGGTGAATTAGAAGTTAAACTCACATCAAACAAACACAGGAAAATAATGTAATATAGCCAAATAAGACAATATCACTATACATCAGTTAGTAAAAATAAACATATACTTTGGTTAAATGGAAAAAAGAAAAGAAGGATCTAGATTTTGGAGCAGGATATGCACAAACATTATCAATTACAATACTTCAATGACAGAACTGTTATTAATGAAATTCCTTAAGTGAGTGGTCTAAGGCCATGATGCTGTAAAAACAGTTCAATTAATAAATATGAAAACTTGTAAGCATTTTCTTCACTAAAGAACTTTCAACAACCAGATACAGAAGACAAATCAAGACTTGTAATTTTCAGTTCAATAATTTCTATGCCACCCAGGATTTAGGGACCTACACTTCAAGTGCTCAGAATAAAATAACAAAAACTGATATACCACTAATTAAAGAGATTGTTAATATACAACTAACAATATTACACTAAAAATACCTTCATTACAATTCTCCTTTTTTGCCAAGCATCAAAAATCCACTAAAATAGCTATTTTGAAAGTTATCTTGACAAACCTTTGTTAATTATAGCAAACTATTACAAACTTACACAAATCATACCATAAGGAAGGGAGCACAGTCTAAGTATCTATTAAAATGTATTTTATGGATGAGGATCCCTACAAAGACCAATCTCATTTAATGTTAAAAAAAAAACTTTTTTTTCAAACATATCACTATTAGTTCAGTTGTTATTGTTCTCTTTTGTGTTTCATAATAGTGACTAGGTCACATAATAACTACTGAAAAACAAAGCATAAGGAAGATATAATGTGAGACAACACGTGCATATTTTTTTCAATTGAATAACTCTACAAAATGATTCAATCTGTTTTATAAACACTAGCAAATATTTTAGAAGAAATGGCTAATTTCTTCATCAGTATTTCCTTTTACTCATCGAAACTGCTCATTTTAAGTTATTATTTAGTGATTTAGTATTTAATGATTATTTAGTTTCATGTCTAATTTTTCATTAGTATTTCCTTTTACTCATCAAAACTGCTCATTTTAAGTTATTATTTAGTGATTTAATATTTAATGATTATTTAGTTTTCATAACAAGTGTTAAAAGCAAATTATTTTAAATCAATAGTTATGACAAGTTTCATTATGTAACTCTGTACGAGTCATAAGTTGAGAATGTAGTTTAATTGTTGTACTAAACTTTTGTAATATTGTTGACTTCAGCTTACTCAAAGCTTCTAAGTCTTTTTCCTTATGTTTAATATTGTTCTTACTAGAGGGCTAGATATTTCTATATTTTTCTGTTACGTGTTATAAATATGTGCAGATACAGAGCATGAGAAATGTTAGTGAAAGGAAAAAAAAGTTAGTAAAAGTGAAGTTAAACTGTGCGATTGTCGATTTAGTAGTGATGGGTGATATGTAGAGCGAGTTTCACAGTTGTATTGTAATAACAGAGATAAAAGAGAAAAATTTTTCTTGTCAAAGGGTGTTTTTAAAGTGTAATAACCACAGACTGTATTGTAATAACAGAATAAAGAAGAAGAATTCATAATTTCAATTGGTTTATAAAACAACTGAACCAGCCTGTGTGGACTTTTGACGTAAAGGAGAATTATTTAAAGCTCTGTATATAACTGTTGTAATACACGGGGTAAAGTAAGTGAACTTATCACTGATTGTATTGTGATAACAGAGTAGAGGAGAATAATTTGTCTTGTCAAAGTGTGTTCTAAATTAATTGAACCCTCCTATGTGGACTTTGATGAAAAAGAGATAATTATTTAAAGTTCTGGGTACAGCTGTGATAACCAATAGTGTAAAGAATTTGTATACACAAGTTTGACTTGTTTTTAATAAATTATTTTAAAACAAGTGGATTGCGTGCTGTCCGTTTATTGTTCAAATTTAACACCAACAAATCACAGACACCTACTGTAAAGAATCCGGCCCTATAAAACATGACAGAAACTAATAACTTTCAGGTGGAATGAATTTCAATATTGCCATTTTAATTTATCAAACATACATCTGTAAAATAAATTTCAAAAATTATACTCACAAATTTTTTCATCACTACCATCTCCACAGTCATCAACACGATCACATTTCCAAGTTTCGTGTATACAACGTCCATTGTCACAGAGAAAGCCACCTCGTTCTGATCGACATGACGACGAGTCTAGTAAAAATAAATAACAAAGTTTAACAATTAAGAAAAGCAGTTTAAACAATCCAAATAAGATACAACATAAATACCCCCCAAAATTTAAACATTAAGCATACCATCCTACTGAACTAACTCTCTTTAGATATGTTTGAAAATAAACTATGTAATCCAGAAGTATTTCTGGTTATTTTTTTTTTTGAATATTTTATAAACAAATTTTTGTGTACATAAATATTTCTTCTCTATTTCTTAGAGTTGAGTCAAGTACTAGGTGAAGAAATTAGGGATTGTGCCAACAGGCTCTGTCTTCTCATGTGAAGATCGCATGCCTCAGAGGAGGTAGAAGATAGTTATTTTACTAGTTTCTCATCTTTTGATTTTCTTTGCTACATCATGTGGTAATTTGTTTTTCAGCAGTCTCATTAGAAGTCTGAATGAAAATACAGATCCTCCATGGTTGCTTTCTTACCTTACAAGTGCAGAGGAAGTCAATATCCTTCCAGATGAGTTGTGCTGGATTTGATATAGGGGTTATCTTGCGAGCTTCCTCATTTAGCTTTACCCCTGCTTGGCTTAACACATACATTCAAATGATGGTCTCCCAACAACTGTACACCATTGTAACAAATTTAAGTTTTTAATTTTCTTCTTTCCTTTTCATTTCCCTCTTCCCTTTATTTCTTTTTCTTTTTTTAGAAGAAAAATATTTTGTATCATAAATTATCCCAATTTACTTTTCACTATGATTAACTACTCTTGTTTAGTCTTTATTATAGAACAGAGCTAGGCCTAGTTTGATTTTAAAGTGAACCTAACGAACATTAAATGCTCTTGACTGTTGTGGGAAAATTACAATATACAGTATTCAATAAAGGCTTGTAGACTATTATAAAGAAATTGCAGTAATTACTTTTTATTAAAGAGAAGATTATATTTTTAATAGCAACAACTGGAGATTAAGGAGCACTACTACTCACAGCATGAAATTAAAAGTAACTATGTAACTGTATAAACAAACTTTAAGCCTACCCTAGTAATAGTAGTTTATTGAAAATTATATAATCTACACAAATTAATCAAAGTTATTTATTACATATAAAAAATAAATAAAAAATTAATAAGAAATAATTAAGTAAAAAATAGTAATTCTATCTACATTTCAACAATTGTTCTATTCTATATCTAATAATTGATATTTAGCAACTCTGAAAAATTTACTTAGTATAACTTGCAAAGATGAAAATTGTTTAAAATCTAATATCTCTAGAGCTCAAAGGAGTATTGCCTGTTGTATAAAAAAAAACACAGGTTTTCTGTAAATCTCAAAGTATAGGTTTATATTTACTCAGAACCTAGCATTCCTTATGTACAGACTTATCTAAGTTTTCAAGCACAAACTAACTATTGTATAGAAAGTGTGTACCAAATTTCATAAAATTAAGATAAGTATTTTAAATGTAAGAAGAAAACAAGCAGGGGTAACAAAGTCACCTTGCTGGCCCAGAAAAGGAAAAGTTGGGCCTTAAAAATTCTAAGGATTTATCTTCCCCATGTTTTTTACTCTCCAGTACTAAGAAAAAAAAGTAATCTTTACAATTTGAAAGACCTAAGATGATGAAATATATATTATAAATGGTTAATCATGTAACCTATATATGCGAAGTTGTTTCTGATCACTACCAATCTATCAACCAGAAAAACTTAAGTTTCATAGACAAGATTTCAAAAACTACTGCCAACATACAAAATGTATGCAGGATCTTAATATTTAGGAATCTACAGAGTATTGAAAATATAAAAAGCAAAAGGTAGTTTTTTTAAAAGCTCATACTACTTTGATTTTAGCACAAAAAGAAAACTTACCGCAGTTCGTTTCATCTGAAAAATCACCACAATGAGGATTACCATCACAATGTTGATTCATTGTATAACATCCAATACCAGATAAACAAGTGAGACTATTACCACAATTTTTGCTACATCCCATTTCATCTTCTCCTTTAGGGCAGTGAAATTTCCTTAGCAAGGAAGAAAAATACTTTTGTTAGTCTTACTATGAACAAATTTCACAATACACAAATAACTGTTTTGCTTCCTCTTTTAAATTGACATCTGTTTGTTTTCTTAAAAATTTCTGATAGTTTCAGGAAAAAAAAATCCAAAATACTGAATTCATGGACTTCTGATTACTAATGTCAAACTTAAGAATAATTGTTATTGTATAATCAATTATCTTTTATGTTATAATATTTTTACTATTGTTTGAAGAACAATATAAAACAAATCATTATTGTGAAAGAGTAGAAAAACTTCTTGTAATATGTTAATCTTAAAAACATTAGGATTCAAATTTTAATATTATGGCTTCAAAATTCATTAGTCTAAACTAGGTCTAAACATTTTACTAGCTATAAGTTATTCAACTATAAACTTACCTTTAAATAATTTAACTTTTTAATTATGCAAATATATTAAAATTGCAATAATTGAATTCTTTCATTGCTGTGGTTTAAGCAATCACTAAAATACATAGTTTAAATATCATCAAAATTTGGTATGTATTATATATTTGGAAGTAGCAACACACAAACAAACAGTCCGTATGTTTCTTGGTTTTGATTAACAGTAATGTGTTCTGCTTCAGCAAACTTTTTATAATATCAAAATTTCAGTGGCAACTCTGACACAATCAAGTTCTGTAAATTCTCGAAGATGTTGCTAATATATTTACTATCAGTCATATTACTTTAAAATATTCTAATATTTACACTTAAAAACATAACAAAGTGAGTTCTAAAAGCTACAAATTAATACATTAAAAGGTGATTTTATTTTTAAAAATGCAGAATGTTTAATGATCTGTTTACAAGCCTTCAGAAATGCAAAAAAAATAAAACCTGAAATCTGTCGCAAGCTAAGACAGAAAACAAATATTTAAATTTCAAATGAATACTTCACTATTATGTAATCTTGAGCACTTAAAAGTAACTTTTCAAATATTTGGCTTAATATTCTAGCTACTTAACAAGTACTCTTAGAAACACTAATAAAAAATTTTCACTTTTTAATTAATTCAATAAGAAAAAACCAAAGGATATGCATTAAAACTAAATCAAATCCTGGTATGGTGTAAAAACTCATGTGATTACCTGTCACATCTTTCTGTGAGAATATTATAACACTGAGTAGATGTGTTGCTACATCTAGTGCGATTAGGACCACAGTTGCAATCAAGCTCATCACTAGAGTCGGGACAGTCTTGAACACCATTACAATAGTTTTTTGCAGGAATGCACTTATTACCCGAATTACACCTGAACTCTGTGGCACTGCATGTTTCTATAAAACAATACAAGTCAGAATTTATCTCATGATGAAATTATGCACATTATACACCCGAATGTATAGCTAATTCTTAAAAAAGTTCTGCAAAAACTGTAATTATTAAGTATCAGTTGAGAAAAAGGTTATTTTGAAATAAAATTATTTACACAATAGAAAATATAATTTTCATCAATCACATAAAAAAAGATATGCAAGTATGTATACACTACCAAGCTAGTTAGGGTACACTTTCATTTACTACAAATGTTTATGAAAATTATATTAAGTTGACTGATTCTGTTCACACAAAACATGTTTCAAAAACTGAGTCAACTTACATTAGCCATTTTACAAACAATTAATTTTGTCATTAGATTAATGCTACCTACAATAATTGTACTTATGTATACCATACAATAGCTAGGTTTGATTTGTTTATTTGCATAATTTATGCTTAAGGCCAAAACACTGTAAAATAAAACCTGTTCATAAGAGTAATTGGCAGCAGTACCTGTATGTATTTCCATAAATAATGAATTAAGTATGTTTCTTCTGTATGCTTTCATTCATTTTGCAACTTGTTTTACTTTACTTAATTTTTTTTTTCTCTAACTACCTCAAGCCAAACTAATAGCAGTTATGTTTTTGTATTTTTTTATAATACTTTTAAACAAAATTCACAAGAAAATAATTAAATAACTCTTAAAACATATTCTATTAAGTTCTATCATAATGATTAAATTTATAATTGAGATAATTTAACACTATTATAATAATCACCTGTACAAGATATCTCATCAGACCCATCTTCACACTCATTAAATCCATTACAATGCCACCTCTCTAAAATACATTTTTTATTATCACACTGGAATTCATTTTCCTGGCAATAATCTTCTCTTTTAGCACCTGAAAAACAGAAAAGTAAACGTAAGATACTTTTTTAGACAAATCGTTTTTCCAATATTTTTTGAAAAGTAATGAAATCTTAATAAACATACGTTTTAAAAATTAAAATGCTTTATTTCTGCCAATCATTTCACTTCTTAGCATCTTAAGAAATACTAAAGCTAATTTTAAGAAGAAACCATAATAAACTTGCTGAACTATTTTTGACATATTGTTTTTCAATTTCACCAAAAAAGTAAACATAACTTAAATGCTTCTTGGTTTAACAAATGCATTGTTCTTAACATAGAAATAACATTTTATACTTACCTACAATATAAGAAAGTTTAAATCCTCTTCCCCCTTTGAGAACAAACGATGTAAAGAACTTAATCCACAGTGTATTTGCCTGTATGATCAATGGGTTAGGCTGAGGCCTACCCTGTCCACAGTAGTGTTTGTACTTGATTTGTGGTAATGGTCCTACTTTCAACCAATTATACTTACAACATGGAGGGCTGAAGCATAGTTCATTGCTTTCTTCTACATCCACATCATCAAATCTTTTTAAAGAATAAGGGTAATTATCATGAGATATGCACTCATTATATATTACACAAAAATATAAAATAAATATAACCACAAATTATACTGTTTACAAATATATTCTCAGCTATTTTGGTTTCTGATTATATTTTATATTTATTAGCATCATCATCTGTCTATATTTTCAAAGTTGTAATCATCAATAAACTGATTACTTATGAGCATTTTGTTACCGATTTAGGCTACTCCAATGATCAAAGTAATTGAAATATTGCATTTATAATTTCTTGTTATTAGTTTTTGATTAATTCATTTTTCCAGTTTGGGTTGGCATGGCAATTATGGTAATTGCTTTGTGATTTGAGGGTCTCAGGCTTTACTTCCCTTTGCCACCACATGCTTGCCCTTTAAGCCACAGCAGCATTATATTTGTTTTCTTGTTTTTGAGTTATGGTAGAGCTACTAAAACTACCTGTCATCATCTCTATTTTGAACTGCTAACCAGAGAGAATGCAACTGATGGCTATTAGCACCCACCACCAACTCTTGGGCTATTTTAGTATTATATAAAGTATATATAGTCTTTTTCTACATTGTGTACGTGTTATGTTTCTAACAACACATCTCTTACTATCCAAAATTTGTTTCCTGATAATAGTTGTGACAGACACTGGCATATCCCAAATTCGTAACTATGATCGCAAGACAAGTGCTCAGGAGGCAGTGTTATTTATCCTGTTAGTTATCATACCAGCCTTTTAACCATGTGGTAACTTATAAATGTAAATGTACTAATCAATTTTCAATAAATAATAACAAAATCAATAAATTAACACAGTATTAAAACTTACAAATATCAATCATTTTATTAAAGTAACAAAAGAAAAATATGACATACATATTTTCTTCTACATTGTACTTTATATTGCATAGATTAATACTTTAAAACATTATCCATGACTGATTATGTATAAATAGGCTGGCATTACAATATAGTCTTATTATATAAAGAAAAAATTGTGTTTACAATAACTTGGCCATCCCTGGGAAAAATGCCTAATTCTAAATGATTTAAGCCTTTTCTTTCAAAAATGTTCAGTGAACATAAACATTCACTTAAGCAACTGTGACATTTTTACTCCTGTTATTCATGTGAGCCAGTTTTACAATAAACCTTGTCCACAGAAAGAAACTTTGATTAGAATTAGCTTGAAATTATGTCAGGCACAAAGTAAACAGCATAATAAATGTTTTATGTTATGCATTGAAAAATTAATAACATTTTTGTAATACATATCATAATCCCCAAGATTTACTCAAGTGTAGATAATATTTGCTTTAAGAAGGTAAACTATACTAAATATTATTTTTAATTTTCATGATATAAAAGACTGTCATTGATTTGTTACGTTTCATACATGTTAATAATTATATTGTTACGACAGCGGAAGTCACTCAACGCTTGAAGCATGCGTGCTGGAGTTTCTAGAAGGATCATGACTGTTCCTGGCAACTCTAGTCTTTTCTAGGTGCCCTCTTTTTTTGTATATAAACCCGGCAAATAAAGCGGAGATATAATAACAGATAGTGAGATATAGAGATAGATAATCGAGTCAAGAAAGCGGTAGTGATCGTAAGTAAAGTGCATGAATTATTGTGAATTATAGCGTGTGTTAAGTTAAAGTGACTGTGGAAATTCTGTGTATTGCAAAGTTGTATTCAGAAAGAATAAACTAGTTTTATTTAAGAAAGGACTTGTATCGCCAAAGTTTCTCAGAAAGAATTTCTACAATAAATTAACAAACGAACAGAGACGCAACAATATATATATATATATAGAGAGAGAGAGAGAGACAGACAGATTTGTTTCTTTGTCAACACAAAGCTACACACTTTTCTGTGATCCGCCCACAGTACATATCAAAATAGAACTGGTTAATTTGATTAATTAATTAACATAAAATGATTATCTGTGAGCATCGATTAATGTCATATAAATTAACCAATTAATAAAAATTACAATTAAATCAATGTTAATAAAATAATCAACTAATTAAAATTTGCATTTGATTATTACGACTTTCAATTATTACAACAATCAACTAACCCTATGTGTGTGTGTCTAAGTTTTAATTACTTAATTTGTATATTAAATAAATTCTTAATCTTGACTTTTCCATGTCATGTGACACATCTACCTTCTGGTTCTCTTCTTTTAGATTTTATCTATTCCTTTCCAAGGCTGTCAATCACAAATTCAAACTATATATAGTGACAGGTTAAAATATAAAATTTACACCTTCTCGAATTAGTGAGATATAAATAATTTTGTGACAGTCATCATTGAGGCCCCTGATATCTTGTCATAGCTTTGAACAAATTTATCTGTACCACATGACCTTTAATAGACATGTTTGTAACCAACAGAAAGAATCCTCCTCCCCCACCTACGAGAATCTGCTGATGGTTACTTCCTTTTGGCACACAGTTGTAGACAGCATGACTCAGACTGTTTATGAATGATCATTATTGTTAAGCTTCGAGTGGTTAACCAAAGTTTTTAACCTATCAGTAGCTTAGTTAGTAAGGCCAGTTGAATTATAGTAGTTTTAGGACATTCTATATTTTGTGCATGAAAACATTCAAAATATTTTGGACTACTACTAACATCATTACAAAACTGTAGGTCATTGTTAATGGAAAAAGGTCTGAAATAGTAAATTTCTTGTTTATATAATTTGTATTCATTGTTATAAAAGTAACCAAATGTAAAAACTTATTAGGTAAGAAAACTGAAACAAGCAAAAATTAAATGAAACATTTATTGTGATACTCAATATCAGTGTAAGCATATGAGACATATTTGTAATTTGATCCTTTTAAGCTAGTAACTCAATCATTTGCTTACAAAGCTGTCTGGCTGCGGTTTGTATATGGCTTTCACCATAATCTGAGAAGGTCTCAAAGTGCAGCTGTAAAGCAATAAAACCAAATGAACCTAGATTTAAAATGACTATTATGCTTTGACCGTAAGAATAGTGTGTAATTGTTTGTTACAATATGCAGGCATTGTAGAAAGACAAAAGGGTAACCTATATTTATTTCATATTTTTCAACTTTTTCCCTACATTACTAGAGAAAATAACAGATAAATATAAAGTTTTACTGAAACAACTCTTGATATTCATTTAGCAGGTTCTAAAGGTTAAGCAATGATAATTTTGTTCCAGTTAGCGTTAGGGTAGAGAAAATAACATATAAAATATAAAGTTTTACTGAAAAAACTTTTGGTATTCATTTAGGAGGTTCTAGAAATGAGATATTGAAACTGTAAAATGCAAAAAGTGTTTTTTTTATTAAAAAAATGACCTTGAGCTAAAGACTAGTCAGTTTGAGTGAGACTGGTTCAGTAAATTCACAGACAAATCTTTAATAAAAATACTTTATTAGAAATTATGATTTTTTGTCATTCACAGTTGTCATGGATAATCAACTAATCTAAATCAGTATTTCTGATTATTACCATTTTTAGTTATTCCAACAGACCATTAATTGAAATTATGATTAATTCAACTGTCACGAAAGCAATCAATTAATCTAAATTAGTTCTTATGATAATTAATGTATCCAATTATTTAAACAAATCAAAAATTACAGTTAAATAAATAGTCATGAAAACAATCAACTAATATAAAAGTGCCTTTATGTTTGTTAAATTTAAAGTTAAATAATGGGCTATCTGTGCTCTGCCCACTGGGATTATCAAAACTCAATTTAAGGATTATAAGTTGTTTTTTACTTCAAATGTTTTCAGCGTTGGGCCACCATGGCCTGATAATTTGATGGGGTGGGGGACTGTTGAGTGTTTTGGATTCAATTATATTTCTCCAAACCTGCTTACTCTGTTTTTGTGATGGCAAAGCTATTAATGCTATCTACCACAGTCACTAATTTTGAACTGTTGATAAGAGACAAGGCAGCATTATTAGTCTCGAAGTGGGTTCCTCGTCATCGAATTATTGTTACTTGTTAACACAATAGTACTAAATTATCAAAACAAACTTTCAAGTTTTATTTTTATTTATTTCCTAATGGATTTCAAATTATGTAAGATGAAGTTATAACTATCAGAAGTTTTATTTTTCAAACTAATTGATGTTATTCTAGCTTTTATGTTGACTTTAAATTTAGGCAACTTGAAAAATATCCAAAAATACTAGGTTTTTACTTTGGCTAAGTATGCAATTGCCTAACAAATAAATCGAGTCATGATTATTATTATTCTCGTTCATTAGTTTTGAAGCATTTGGGTAACTGTGTGGTTATAGATACAACTTTTAAGGCTCCAACATAGTCCTAAGCATGTTTATAAATATGTTTTTTAGGGTTAGAAATAAAGCACTTTAATTAATCTTATAATACTGTACTTGAAGTCTGAAGACAGGGTTTCCTCTGGCTTTTATTTTCTTTGCTACATTTTAAAAAAATGTTTAAGACAAATTTTAAAGTAACTTTGATATATTAGTTCTAACTATATTTCAGCTATTTTAACTCAAAAATATTTTACAATCAATATTTTATCATTTTCTGACAACTATTTAATGTAATTCATGGAAAAAAGAACACATTCTTATTTTTGCACAGTTATGAAGCTTTACCTATAACAACCCCAATGTCAAGTTTTTTTATAATTTTTCTGCTCATATAAAATGACTTTATTTTTGCTAAAAATCTATGAAGCCTGGAGAATATGTTATCCCCTTCTTGATTTACAGCTGTTTAAGCTTTCTTAATTTTTATACAGGCCTTGGTTGACACCTTGTTATGGTGCCAGATCAAGTGAAATTCAGCTTTTAAAACAGTTATAAAGAAAGTTCAAACATTAGACAAAGCAAGAATTAGACTATCACATCAAAGTAAATATATAAGTTTATGTTTTTTATAGTTTATGTAAATGTTCTTTTTGTTTTTGAATTATGAAAGTATTTGTATGTTCAATTATATCTGTTTGTAAGTTATAGAAACTTTCTTTAATCAGAAGGCATCAGATGACTTAGACTTTTAAAGTTTAGAGACAGGATGCATGGGTAACAAAAAAACATTATCAAAAGTTTGACACAATAACAAATATACAACATTTAGAGAAGGTTTTGTCATAATCAGTTACTAGTAGTTTACCTAGACACAGGTATATACAGTATGAAACAAAGTCACACGACTGGAGATTACTAACGGCTTAGTAAAGGTATCTTGTTGATGTTTGGTTCTTGGTTTAAAATTAGTGTTTTTTACTTTTTAACAGATACATGCTAATAGTTTTTTTTATCTGACATCTTTGCATCCAGAAATTTCAATATCTCCAAATACAAATGCTTATTGTAGGAACTGGAATTTGTTACAATTCCATCCAGGATGTCTCAGAATGCTCTCAAAGCTTCTCAAAAGTTAGCAACTGTAGTTAACTACTGCTGCTACTTAATGGTGCTACTGTGGCTATGTTTACATTCTTTCCCATTGGAAAACTTCAGGCAATTCCTTCATAATAACTCAAGATTTTTAGGTGATAAGAGCTTAATTTTAGTTTTATCCACTATTCCAAATTCAACTTAGTGTCAGAATGATTCATGTTGCATCCAGACATTTACTGTACTACCTGCAACCTTTTACAATTAAATGATTATTACATTGTATATGAAAACAGACTAGTCCAAGAATAGTAACAGACCTATATACATGTATCTATGAAAATACTACATAAGCCTTGTACTTAAAATTGTGGTTATTCATTAATATAAAACACCACATAAGCATTTAATCAAGAAGTTATTGATTTGGATGAAAGTTTATAAAGAACACGTTAAAATTATTAATATGTTTACATTTTATGTGCAGGCTGAAAGAAACTGTAGAAATATGCTTACATGCTGTACAAATAAACAGGCGTATTATTTTAAATCATTACCAGTCATCCTCTTTGCTCTAATTTTACAGAAAATAATAACCAAAATATTAAATAAAAATAAATAATAATAAATATTAAGTTCTAAAATAAATAATTAATATTGTATAATTAATACTTACCATAATTCTGATTTATAAATGACTCGTATAAAACAAATGCTAAATATTATGATTCATCAACATAATCTAATTCATGCAATTTGATAATACATATATAGCATCTCATCCACTATTATGTCTGTCGTATCCCAGCCAGCCTCATGAGCCCCGGTATTGGACAAACAGGCTTTTTTTGGCATTGGATATAGCAGACACAGTGTGGTTAATATATTGTTCTACATTCTTCTTTACTTTCATTCATAAGTTTCTTAGGTAAACACATGATAAATTTTGATTTTCATAAAAAGAGTATTAAGACTAGATAAATTAGAGCTAACATTCAATAAACTTGTACACATCTGATATATATACATATAAAAATATACCTGATTGTGATAACCTTCCCAGGCCCTTTAACACTGATAATGTATACGATGCAAGTGTGGTTATTGTAGGGTTGTGGATATCCAGGACTTTTGATAATCCCATGGCGACCCGTATATTTTGTAAAAGAACATTCACTTTTGTAGTTAGTTTCTGGAATAAAATAAAATTATAGCTGACAAAATAGCAATAATCATTATAGTGATAACATACAATAGGCACTTTAAAATTTCAAAACAAAAAACTAATATAAAGCATGTAGTGAACAGTTTCAAGAGACTTAAAAACCTTTAAAGTATCTTTACTAAAACCTGTTAAGTATGAACAGTTGTTCATTATCAACACACTATGTTCCAATCAACAAAGAAAAGTAGCACAGTACAATTTTAACATATTTCATTCTATTAAAATTTAACTGAATATTAAATGCTTCTTTTCATCTGTACACACTGATTTTTCACAAACATTTAAACACATAAATCTTGTAAAAGGGGACCCAAAAGTATGGAAGTAAATGCACTTTTCAAGAGATACAAAATAAAAAGAAATAATCAAAAGCAAACAATAACTAGGTGATTAATAGAATTTACTAATCAATTATTCTCATTCAACTAATCTTTCTATTTTCAGCTTGTTTAGGTTCTTTTAGACAATTAAGGACTACCTTTCACTTGATATGATAGAAATCTTCAGGTACAACAATATAAGATTAAATTACATCTTTAATCCTGAAGTACCATACACCCAACATAGTAAGAAACTTGTAATAAGCTGAAAAGACAATTAATAGCACTCCTTGAGAATCTCCTTACAATTTTTCACAAGACTACTCTACAAAACTACTACTTCATTAAAATAATTGTCCTTAGCTTTCATATGATAAAAATAGTAAAGATTGTTGTCGCAGTGTGTGTGGTACGTACATAATTTAGTGAAAACAGATTCATTCAGTTCCTCAAAAAACAGACAGTACAATGTTTATTATTTGTCAAAAAACCTTAGGATACTAGATGAGCTCTTTGCAGAGAATTAAATGATTCATAAGGTGAAAATTGCAAGTTTATACAAAATATTAAATTTGTGGTAAATTAAAAAAAAAAAATTACTAATATTTCAGAATTATTTTCTAATTCCATCATCAGCAGGAAAAACTTAAAAAATGATTAAAAATCATAAGTTTCTAATCGAGAACTTGTTGATACAAATAGAAGTTCAAAGAGATCACATTAAAATGAACAATATGTTTACATTTTATGTACAGGCTGAAAGAAACTGTAGAAACACACTTACATACTGAGAAATTAATAAATCCAACAACTTAAAGCTTACTGTACTAGGTATGCAGTGTTTACGAGGGATGTGATAGCAGTCAAGACTTCTGTTTTCAATTTTCAATACTATCTAACTAGATAGAGCTAGTCATATTTAAACATGAGTTCAGATCATGTTAACAGCTTAACAGTGTTTATGTTGTTAAACTGGTATTAGTACAAGTTTAGTAATTTCTGACTAATACAGTTAAATAAGCAAGTTACTTAGCAAACAATAATTTTTGAAATAAATAAATAATGTAATAATTTTCCCAAATGAAAGTGTATTTCCAATAGGTACTGCCCTCTACTCACAAAATTAGCTTTTCTCCTTTATGATGCCCTCTATATGCAAACTTTTTCTGAAACGCATGCCACAAGCCTTCATCCTCAATCTGTTGGAATCCAAAGTTTCAACATGTCTCTCAAGCAAATCATCATGCGTCACCTCTCCACCAATAGGAGAGCACTACTATCACGTGATGCATGTGCCTCCCTCTAAGAGCCACTATCAAACTATCACTTCGAAGTTTGGCAGAAGATGCAAACACTATAAGATTCTGGGGAAGACAGGTGGGAAGTGTGAGAAGAGGGATATACCTATCGGAAATACATTTTCATTTAGGAAAATTATAACTTCTGATAAAGTACTCTCCCTCCAATCACAAGATTAGCTTGAATCACACATTGAAATGGAGGAGGGGCCAGTGGGAGGGAAGCACAGGTGTATCCCCCGGAAGCATCCAGAAGACGCCCCCAAAATAAGAGGAACAGATCAGATGATCTGAGGAGGGGTACTGCACTATATCTGAGCCAAGTATCTCTTTGCCATGAACATCGACATGATCAGGAGGACCAGACATAGCAGAACATTAAAGGGAGCACATCCGCATGATAAAGAATAGTTTAGTAATGTGATCTTAAACAGAAATCAGAGTCACTCAATCCCACAATTGAAAGTGGGCAAGTGAGGATGTGTCCCACGACAGACTATACCCGGTAAGTCAACTACATCCAAAACCTCACTCGCTGGGTACCAAAACCCTCACGAGGGTAGGATGAGGATCATACTGCTTTCTCATCAAATTCCAGTCAAGATGGAACATAACATTCAACTCCAGGGATCCAGGAATGTGTCAACCATAATCCTGGGGAAGTCCATCACATACACTCAGCCCCAGTGCCCATGAAACCAGCCCGAAACGACCCCAGGTCGGTAACAACCTCATCATCCAACAAGGTAAACCCAAGAAAGAAGCAGAAACAGGCCACGTAGACCTTCTGCGACCCACAACACAGAAGACAAGTCGATATGGGAAAGATAGATAACCTGAAACCTGTATGAGGACTTATGTGATTGGATCACTCAATCTTTAAAACCTCACTTGCTGGGTACCATCATCCACCCAAGGGTAGGAGGAGGAGGAAACCCAATCAGAGGGGTGAACTGCATTTGGGAATATCAACTCAAAGTAAGCGATAAACACTCCATTTGCATTGATAGACAGCCAAAGAAGAATGGCGAATGGAACAGGCTTATTTGAAGCTACTCTGCGAGAGAACCCAGAACTACTCACTAAGGACCTGACAAAAGCCAGGCACGACGACGAAGGAAAGATGGCACAGGATGGAAGAGAAGAAGAAGGGGAGGGACCACCTGCAGTTGGAGCAACCAAGGAAACCAAGGTTAAGCAGGCCAGTAAGGAGCAATCAGAAGGACTCTTCATGGTGTAGCATGGATGAGGGAGACCACCCGATGAAGTGAACGGATGGGAGGGTAAACATAAAGAAACAGATGAAATCAATCCTGGCTGAAAACATCAACAGACAAAACTCAAGGATGGAGGACCAGGGACTAAACCTGTAAAACTGAGGTAATTTGTGATTGCGGGTAGTATCAAAGGCATCAATACAGGGCATACCCAGATGCAGATAGAGCCCCCAAAAAACAGCAGGATGCAGGGACCACTCCATGGGATAAACCTGATCTGGTTGGGAAAGACGATCAGCTACGAGATTGGAAGCACCTGGTACACACGCCATCAAATGAATGTGATGTGTGTGGGCTCAATAAAGAAGATCCATAGTATAAAAACATAGGGATCTGGTGTCACCTTAGTGATTGATATAAGCCACCACAGTAGAATTGTCAGAATGGATCATAACCAGTCGGTGGCTGGCAAGAGAAAGAAATTGATTCAAAGCCAGATGAACAACCTGGAGTTTGAGAATACTGATGTGAAAAGAACTCTCCTCCACAGACCTATGTCCCGAAACATCCTGGTGATCCACCCGGCCACCCCAGCCTGAAGTGATGCATCTGTGAACAGATGTAAATCTGGCCGCAGAGGAGGAAGCAGGACCTCCGAAAAAGTGTGGGCCCTGTTCAACCACCAATGGAGATAATCTACAAGGGATGAGGGAAGGGATATAGAAGTATCCAAGGGATTCTGGGCAAGGTTTCATTGATCATGAAGGGCCCATTGAAGAAACCAAATATGGGCTCTGCCCAGGTGTATAAAAGAGTTCATGGAGGACCACATCCCCTAAAATTGATAGAACATCGTGAGCTATAATGGCCTCTTCCACAGAATAGAGCCGGAGAGGAGAAGGTTGGACCCAACTGAGATGTGTGTTCAAGAAAACACCCAAATGGATAAAGTATTGGGTAGGACAAAGGAAAGACTTCTCCAATTTGACCAACCAGCCCATCCTCACAGCTTTGGCCAGGATCTGATGAGTGTGACAGGCTGATTCCCTGTTCGGAAAGATTAAGAAGAAGCCAGTAGTCCATATAAACATGGAAGCACAACCCTATGTCATAAGTATGAAGAGCAGAGGAGCAGGCCACACGATAAAACATGTATGGTGCTAAGGCTGATCTGAAAGGTAAGGTGCAAAAACTAGTACACAACTGCCGATGGACAAACTGAAGATATGGACAGCGATGCTCCACCACAGGAATGTGTAGGTAAGCATTCGAAATGACCACCTCGATCATCCAAAGACCTGGAGAAAATGCCCACTGAAGGGAAAGGTATGTAAAGCAAGAAGGGTGAACATACTGATTGAGACAGGATAAATTAATGACAGATCGCCAGTCCCCAGTCTTCTTGGGAACCACAAACCCCCATGAACCTGGTGGAGCTGGGTCGATAGCCTTTTTTGTGATGAGGTCTTGAACCGCCTCTGACAGATGCTGGTGTGTCAAGGGATCCTGAGGAGAAAGGAAGGGAACACTGGATAATGAATCCCTCCGAGAGCTCCTTGTGGACCCAGACATTGGCAAGAAAAGGTCCCCACAGAGGAACGAAATTCAAGAGATGAGCCCCCTCTGGGCCCGAACCAACCATGTAGTCAACCGTACTGCTGTTGGCGAATTGTGCATCAGAGTAAATCGTCAAATCGTGGCACCCTCAGAGGGTTTGACAGGGAAAGGTTGGGAAGGGGAAGGTCGGTTGACAGCAATCAGTTAAAATGATCAAAACAGTCTTCAGCCTGGCCCAGCCGAGCCCAAAAGGCGTAGGAGGAAGTGGGGCAGGAATAAGCAGGGAAGCACAACGGAAGTAATGCTTTATTAAAATATTTACTCTCTCAATACAGGCTCAGTCAATTTGACCAACCATACAACCTTTTTGTATTCGTTTAAAGTCTTTATAGATTTACAAGTTGTAACTCACTATAGTGTGTATATCTTAACGAAATTTGGTAGTCTTTCAGTTAACATTGTAAATCTTTCACATACAAAAAAATCATATTTCTTAGTGAAGTATTTTTAATAAAAGAAAATAAAGATGTATCCATGAATGTATTGAGCATTTGTTTTCAAAAGTCCGTTTGCAAAGTAATTTTCATGTTAAAATTAAAAATACTTTTCCTCACCTCAAAAATCTCAAATTTCCTTTGTGTAATCTCTAAAATCTCCTAAATGCATTTCAAACGTTTTTTTCCAGTAAAACTTTATAGTTTATCTGTTATTTTCTCTACCCTATCTCAAAATGGGATCAGTTAAATCGACTGACCTCATAATCACCAAAAAAAATCAAAATTACCTGAATTACCCTTTTTCTTTCTAGAATGACTTCAAATTGTAACATGAAACTACATTCGTTTATTCTAAGTAGCTCTAAGTTCGTAACGTTATACATCTACTTATAATTAAGTTTTATTGTTTTATTACTCTTTGAACTTTTAACCACTATCCATGCCATAAGAAGTTCTAAATTACTCAAAGAATGTGCAGGTCACGTTAAGCTATCAAATTACATTACCTACGAACTTCTCGCTTGCATGCCTCATGAACAATTTTAATTATATTATTATTATTACTTATTTTACCTAATCTAGTCATAAATAACTTAAAAAGATCCATATTTTTTATTTTAGTTACTTTATAATAGTAAATAAAGAATAAATATAAAAAACAAGAAATAAAGTACTCACCCAATCTTCTTCTTTCTTGCCCTCGATTGTCGATGGCAATTAAGCCTAATTTTTATAGTACCAATAGTAATGTACTTAATAATTTTTATTTAAATAAATAATGCACCAAAGAATATAGACTGATAACATGCAAAAAGTAGACAAATTCCCTTAACTCTCAAAATTTTTCTGGCTTTCTAACTATGCGACAAGAGCCATTACAAATTCATCCAAGCTAGTCATTAGCTTTCCCACAGGAACAATGTTGCTACTTTGAGTGAAATTAACTTTCTATTGGTTATAGGTAATATATAATGAAACATAAGAGAGAACTATCAACAAATTCTGAAATAGAGGATGTGACATGTGGGTGTGGCAGGAGGGGTCCAATTTTCTAATCGATAGCTCTGTAATGAAACAAAGACTATAAAATTTATGGCTTTTCTGAGCAAAAACGATTTTATAGAGAATAATTTACATTTAATTTCTTACTTTTTCAAGGAGTGGTGGATAAAACAGGGATGATGACACGCTAAGAGAAAATGTGTCACGTAGCTCACACTAGTGAAAATTCCGGATTTTTTTAAATACTGCCTTGTAGAATTAAGAATTTAAAACTTGTATACTATTAAAATATGAATTATTAGTTA